TTGGAGGGTTCTTGGTCCCAAAGGTTAATTATAGATTTTGGGAGGAAGCACTAGGAGACGCAACAGTAGGTGTGATAGGCAGTCAGCGGTCACTGGGCTGCCAGATGAAAGAGATTGAGTTGAAGATCTAAGATCCACCTCCAACTTGAGAAGAGTTTGCGAATTTACGTTTATAGCAAGGTCGGGAGGGCTATTGTTTCTCTCTAGTACTGTCCCCCGGACGAGGACAGAAGAACCGGGATGAGGTGAGAGGAGCGAAGAGGTTCCCAGACGGGGAGTCTCGAACTACCAAGGGGGAAGAAGGAGGAAGGAGGAGAATGGGGGAGGAAGGAGGAGGAGGAGGGATGAGGGAGGAGGAGGGAGGAGGGAGGAGGAGGGAGAAGGAGGAAGGAGGAGAGAGGAGAGAGGAGGAGGGCTGAGGAAGGAGGAGGGAGGAGGGAGGAGGGCTGAGGAAGGAGGAGGGAGGAGGGAGCAGGAGGACACTTACAGGCTCCCCCTTTTCTCCTTTCCGCCCAGGTGCTCCTTTCACTCCGAAGTCGCCTCTGCCCCCCTGGGACACAGGACACAGGTTAGCCCCGGTGGAGGGACATCGTGGGAGAGCTCTGCTTGCCCCCTCCCAGTCTCCCAAGACCTCCAGTGGGTCTTCCGGGGACACAGACGTGTTCTGTCCAGGAAAACCCGGGCCTGGCTCTTGGGGTCAGTGAGGTGGCAGCAGCACAGGGCGTTTCAGGCGAGCACGGGTTTTGGTTTGAGAGAGACTAGTACTCAGCCAGCTGGCGACCACACTCAGCACTCAGCATGGGGCAGCTGCTGGTGCCAAGCCCGGGGTGAGGGTGCGGCGCTCCAGCCACCGGAGCAGGGCACCGACCACCCAAGGCAGGTGCAGAGGGGCCCTCCGTACCTCGGGGCCAGGTGGGCCTGGCTCGCCTCTTTCCCCCTGGAAGAAAGCACAGGTGGGGGTTACTCAGCACAGACCCCCGAGAGCTGGTGTGCTGACCCCTGGGGCATAGCTGGGGACCTGGAGGCTGTCTGCTGCCTCCTCCCTTCCCTGGTCTCAATTGTCACAATCTGTGGGCAAATGCTGCCTGGGCTGCGTCCCAGACAATTTCTGGGGACCTGAGTCTGCACTCAACGTGTGACTCCCGAGCCCCTCGCACCCTGTCCCCCATGGGGAGGCCCTCCAGGGAACTAGAGGGAATCTTCAGGGCCCTCCTGGCAATGCCCCCCTCCCTGGGGGCTCCAATCCCACGCCAGGACTCACAGGCGCTCCTCGGGGTCCTGGGTAGCTGAATCCAGGCCTGCCAGGGTCTCCCTGGAGGAAGGGGGAGGCCGGTCAGGGAAGGTCAGAGGGAAATGTGAATGGTCAGCATGGACCCAGGCCTAGGGTCTGGGCGGCTGGTCTGACCAGATGGGGCCTTGGGGAGGGTGTGCTACCCCCCAGGTGAGGACGGGAGGGCTGCCTGGCCCCCTGCCGTCCTCCCACACCCAGGACTGGCAGGCACACTCCAGGCTAGAGCTGAGAACAGCCTAACCCTCCCCCCACCTCTTCCCAATCCAGGCAGGAGGGGTGTACCTTTGGGCCAGGCTGTCCGGAGTCTCCGCGGGGACCAGCATCACCGGGGTCTCCCCGAGATCCCTGAGGTCAGAGAGAAAGTGGGGAGTTGGCACAAGCAGACTATGTCCAGCTCTGACCACTAGGCAACACTGTCCTGCTGCCCTGCTGCCCTCAGGGTCACTGCCTGGTCCCTCCTCTTCCACATGCCTCCTTGGGGCTCCCAGGACCCACCCCTGCCTCTGGCTCACCACCCTGACCTGGTAAAGCTGGACCCCTCAGAGCAGGGCCAGGATGTGAGGGGACAGTGTCCTGCTCAGGACAAGAGGACTACAGAGCAGGGTAGTGAGACGCTGAGGCTGAAGGACAGATGGGGACCTGAGTCCCAGAACCACAGGCCCCTCCCCGGTGTCCTGCCACTGACCTGCTTCCCAGGCTCCCCCAGAGCCCCAGGGGGGCCTCTGGGTCCAGGCAGGCCGCGGTCTCCCTGGAAAGAAAGGGCGCCTCAGAGATCCTGTCATCAGCACTGTAGACGGCGAAGGATGGGGAGGGGAGGCCGCTGCCCCCCAGGAGGTCCTGGGCATGGCCTCAGTCCTCAGCCCTGACCACAGACCTGGTAGGGTCTGCAGGGAGGGAAGGACAGGGGGTCCCAGGCTCATCCCCCTCCAGCCAGGGTGCTGGGTGCCGCCTGCCACCCACTTACCTTGGCTCCTTTGCCGCCAACCTCCCCAGCCAGGCCCCGGGGTCCCTCGGGGCCAGGATCCCCCTGTGAGAAGAGAGGCCCAGTTATCTGTGGTGTGTGTGGCAGGAGGTGGAGGAGGGGCCATTGAACTGCCTGGAGAGGACCCCAGGTTGGGAGGGTGAGGCTGAGATAGCGGCCCTGCCCGCTCAGCCCCTCAGGGCAGGGGTCCCCACGCATTCCCAGTGGAGGGGGTCCCTCTTCCGAGCCCTTCTCCATACCTCACGGGAAACTCGGATTTATCACGGAGACAGGACCTCCTGCACCAGCCCAGGAGCAGGTGTGGCGGGTGCTGAGGAGCAGCCTGCAGCCTGCACAGCTGTGCGTGCCCCGCCCAGCTTCCCCAGTGGGCAGTGCAGGTGGGGGCGCCCTGGCTGCTGCCTGCTTTCCCAGACCCTGCAGAGGGTGTCCCACCGACAGAGGTCCCGGGTCCCTTCTGTTCTCCCTTGTCACCGGGAACCACCAGCACCACCGTGAGAACCCGGTGCAGAGGCAGACGTGGTCCCCGACACGAACACTCACCTTCTCGCCTTTGGGGCCCTCGCCGCCTGGGCTGCCCTTGGTGCCAGGGTCTCCCCTGCGCCCCTGCAGAGAGTGGGTGTGTGGGTGGGGGCCTGATGGTGGGGGCCACAGGAGGACCCACACTCTACCCATGAGGACTCTGGCTTTGGGGTCTGGAGGCCCCTCAAGAGGGCTTCAGCCCAGATCCTCATTCTCTGCCGGGGGTTTGGTCCCAGCCGAGGATTTAGGAAATGAGGGAGGGCTCCCGGTCAGCTGTCTGTCCAGGGTGAGTTCCAGTGGGCTGACTGGGAGCTGGCTTGGACCGGCTATGGGTGTAGTCACTCAGCCCCTTCCGGCCGGGCCGGGCCAGGCCTCAGGACACATCCCCTGGAGGATCAGCCCTGGGACTGGGCCCTTCCGCCCTGAGGCAGGACACGCCAGGTGGGGTGAGGATGCTGTAGGGGACCCATGGAGCGTGTGCCCGGGTTTATGCTGAGCCCTCAGAGGTGCCCTGCCAGGAGGGCAAGGTGGGGACGCTGGGCCACCTCATGGGCACTGAGTGTCTGGCAGGGGGGTGGCTGAACCCTTCCTCTGTGGTAATGGGGTCATGGAGGCACTGGGGACCCCTCGGGTTCAGAGGCCCCGAGCAGGGCACAGCCAGGAGGGCTGGGCAGGCAGCTGGAGGAGACGTGCTCTGGACCATGGGCCTGAGGGGCCTGAGGGGTGTGAACTCACAGCCTCGCCTTTGGGTCCCCGGGGCCCGGGCCCGCCTTTGGCTCCTTTCACGCCGGAACTTCCTGGGGCTCCGTTGTTGCCTTGATAGCCCTGCGGAGAGGTAACAGCTCAGCCAGGCAGGATGGCCCGGGCCACTTCGGCAGGCTCGGCCTCCCTTGGTCTGGCAGTGGGACAGAGAGGCTGGTGGCCTGCTCAGGGCATGGGCTGTCCCTACTGCTTCCCACTTTGGTGAGTCCAGTGGGCACTGCTGGTGTGTGGCGGGGGCAGGACAGCAGGGACCCTCAGGGGCACTTGCCTTGCTTCCCTTGGCCCCGTCCTCTCCTGGGGGCCCTCTGCGTCCTGGGCGGCCAGCGTCCCCCTGGAAGGATTTGGAGAAATCAGCGTCACGTCCTTTGGATGCTGGCCCTGGGGCAGGGCTCTGGAGGCGCTGGGGGCTCGTGCCTCCCCTCCCATGTAGGCGGAGCACACTCTTGTGGGGCAGGGCCCCCATGCAGCTCCAGGCGAATTAATCGGACATGGGCCTTGTCTGTGCGTGCTGGCTTCTCAGGGGACAGGCTGCCTTCCTGGTCCTCCAGGGTCCTGGGCAGCCAGAGGAGTGGCTGCAGGCAGCACAGTGGTGCCTCAGGTGGCCTAAGAGGCAGAACCCCACAGGCATCTGAGAGCCTTCCACAGGAGCCCCCTGGAGGCCTGGGAGGAGGGTGGGCTTCTGCTACGGCCATTCAGGCACCCCGCAGCTGCCTGAGCCGGGACACACGGCCCTGAGGTAGACATGAGCTGGTGAAGCTCCTGAGGGCACCCTACAACCCCCTCAGCATGGGCACCCCACAGCCTCCCAGGCAGAACACGCCTAAGCCTCCTCCCCCCGACTGTCTGGTCTGTGGGGACAGGTCCCCTCCGCTGTGCTTCTCGGCCCAGATGCCTCCCCCAGAGGCTGGGCACCTGGAGGGCAGTGACCCGGTCTGCTGTGGCCACCACCACCCTGGCGAGGCCGCCTACCTTGGCACCTTGGTCTCCGGGTTCCCCAGGACTGCCTGCGTCCCCTGGGTAGCCGTCGAGGCCCTGTGAGGGAAGGGGGAGAGAGGCTGTCCTGGGTTTCTTGCTGCGAGCTGCACTTGGGGTTTCCCCATTAGCCCAGGGTCAGCTGACATGGGGAAGGTGACCAGCGTCGCCCGCAATGTCTGAACTGGACGCTCCGCCTGGGTCTCAGTGGCCAGAATCCACCGGGGCTGGGCAGGACGCTCAGACAAACCTCAGAGCCGAGCTCGTCAGGACTCTGGGAAGCCCCAGAGGCCATTTTGTCCTGTTGTGGCCCCAGCCCGGGCTGATCCCTGGTGGGGTTGGGGACAGGCAGGGCAGAGCTGAAGGAAGAATCCAAGCTCAGGGACTCCCAGCTTCCCCACTCCCACCTGGCGCCTGGAGCCTCTACAGGGCACCACCTTAATGTGAGGAGCCGCCAAGGCCATGCTTACCCGACTCCCGGGGTCTCCCTTGCAGCCAGGGGGTCCAATGCGCCCCAGCTTGCCCTGAAAGACGAGAGGGGAGCAGATGTGTCAGGGGCGAGATTCAGGGATGATGCACCAATGACAGGTGTAAGTGGCAGGCGAAGTCCATGCTGGTCTATACCCACTGGGCACACGCGTGTGACTGTGCCCTTTAATGGCTCGAATGTTACGATGGCATCTCTGTGGAGGAGGGAGAGTCCCTGGCTGCAGCTGTGAGCATGAGTGTCCGCAGTGCCCCCTTCATGTGTGTGCATGCCTGTGTGCATGTGAGACGTGTGCATGTGAGACATGTGTGCATGTGTGAGTGCACTTGATGCTTGTGTACATGTGTGTATGTGTGCGAACTACCACTCAGGCTAGACTTGGAAGTTCCTACAGGGCTTGGCCTTGGTTTTCAGAAGCAAATGTCTATTCACGCCCTTGTGATGCCCTCATTTGTCCTGCATCCCCTGGACAGGTAGAAACTGGGGGTGCTGAAGCCACAAATTGTGGGCAGTGGCAGTAGGCCAGGTCTAGAGGCCCGGCCCCAGGGAGGGATCTGAGAGACTGAGAGACCGCTGTGCATGACCCTCATGCCCGGCCCAGGACGCAGACCCAGGAGCACTACCTTCTGTCCATCGGTCCCGTTCTTGCCAGCCAGGCCGGGGGCGCCCTGTGGGGAGGAGGAAGAGGGACTCTCGTCAGTCCTGATCGTCATCCCCTTGGAGCAGCAGGAAGGGGGGTGCCCTGCTCGCCCAGCCCACCACCTGGCTTACCTTCCGCCCATCGGCTCCGAATTCTCCCTGCAGAAGGAAAGTGAGGCCGTTAGCTCAGATCTCCAGCATCACAGACCCGCTGCCTTAGGGACCCAAGTCTGCCCTCGCAAACATGAGGCCAGAAGGACACCAGACTAAGGCCACCACCAACACGAAGCCCATCATGCCCCCAGCAGGAGCCACAGGCGGGCTCGCTGAGGATACTGGGGAGCTGGGGCCGAGGCTCACGCAGAGGCTGTGTGCAGTCTGGCTGCTCCGACTCGAAATCTCACCTTCTTCTCCTTTGAAACCAGGACAT